TTTTTAAATTTTGAGACAGTGTCTCACTAAGTTACTGAGGGCCTTGCTAAGTTGCTGAGGCTGGCTTTGAACTTGTGATTCTCATGCCTCATTAAGGTACTGGGATGATAGGTGTGTGCCACTGCCCTTGGCTGTTGTCATTTCTTTTCTTTTTTTTAAATATTTATTTATTTTTAGTTGTAGTTGGACATAATACCTTTACTTTATCCATTTTTATGTGGTGCTGAGGATCGAACCCAGGGCCCCCCACGTGCCAGCCGAATGCTCTACTGCTGAGCCACAACCCTAGCCCGTTGCATTTCTTTATTTTTTTTTTTAATTTAATTTTATTTTTTTTAGTTTTTGGCGGACACAACATCTTTGTTTGTATGTGGTGCTGAGGATTGAACCCGGGCCGCACGCATGCCAGGCGAGCGCGCTACCGCTTGAGCCACATCCCCAGCCCCTGTTGACATTTCTTAATAGAAGAACTCATTAAGGAATAACTTCCTGAAATTATGTCCAACCAAACCCCCCCACCCCACCCCCAGCCTCGTCCAGTGCTTTTGGTATGTTGCTGTCTGTGACCCTGTCATTTAAGTGTGACTGAAACCAGGCCCCAAAGAGACCTCTGAAGAAGGGAATTGGCCTTGGTGAGCCCTCAGACTGTGATAACAGCCCTGAGGAATTCTTTGGCTTTTAGGCAGCTCAGTTCTGTGTTTCTGCTGCCTTTGAAGGGACGGTCCCTACCTTAGCACTCAAGTGCTCTGAGCAGATGAGTGGAAATTTAGACCCCAGCTCTATTTATTTTTTGCCTTACTTTATCCACCCCCAAGGCTCAGAGTCCTTATTTAAAAAGTAGGGGTGTTGCTTTGTGGTTCGTTTTCTTTTTTTCTTTTTTTTTGAGGGGTGGGTACCAGGGATTGAACCCTGGGGCATTTAACTACTGAGCCCCTTTTTTTAAATTTTATTTAGAGATAGAGTCTCACTGAGCTGCTTAGGACCTCGCTAAGTTGCTGAAGCTGACTTTGAACTCGTGATCCTTGGCCATGGTTCACTTTTTTTTTTTTTTTTTTTTTTTTTTTTAGATGGACACGATGCCTTTATTCTATTTGTTTATTTTTTATGTGGTGCAGAGAATCAAACCCAGTGCCTCACACATGCTAGGCAAGTGCTCTGCCACTGAACCACTCACTACCCCAGCCCCCATGGTTTACTTTTATTGTGACCATTAGAAATAGGCACATAACATGAGTGGCATAATGTTAGGTGGAGGCAAATAATTGGGTGTCAAAAAGTAAGTAATGCTCTTCATTTCAGTTCTTTTCCTTTTTCCTCCAGTATTGGAGATCGAACCTGGGGGCATTCTACCACTGAGCTACATCCTTGACCCTTTTTGCATTTGATTTTGAAGACAACCTTACTAAGTTGCTGAGGCACACCTCAAACTTTTGATCCCCCCCCACCCCGCCTGCCAGCCTTCTGAGTTCCTGGGATGATGGGTGCATCTGTATGCCTGCTCATTTTTTAATCTGAATTTGCCACGGTACTTTAATTTAAAAAAAATTTTAAGAAAGATGACAAATCATAGAAATCATCATAAATACCAAAATATTTCTGGCTTTTATAAAAGCTTTTTGGAGAGCAATGAAAGAAAAAGTTCATTGGTGTTATTTGTGGTGAAGTGAAGACTGTATGTGTTTTATGACGGAACACTGCCTCCTTTAAAGCAAACACACAGACTAAAACAAAATTGCTTTCCATGACCTCATTTCTCTCAAGCCTACAGAATAAAGGTTTATGCCATGCAAGTTTAAAAGCAATTTAGTAGCCAGGCGTAGGGGTGCTCTCCTATGGCCCTAGCTATTTGGGAGGCTGAGGCAGGAGGGGCAGGGGTTGTGGCTCAGTGGTAGAGTGCTTGCCTAGCATGTGTGCACTGGGTTCGATCCTCAGCACCACATAACAAATAAACAAGTAAAAAAATACATTGTGTCCATCTACAACTAAAAAATATATTAAAAAATAAAAAGAGACTCCTCATTTTGAGACACTTCCTTTCATACTCACAGAAAGGAGTCTTTCCCTAAATGGGAGCTTGAAGCCAGGGCCTCACAAATGCTGGGCAGGCACTCTACCACTAAGCTACAGCCCCAGCCCTCTTGAGTTTTCTCTTAATACAGATGTTTCTGTCTTCCTCTGGGACATCAGGGAAGTCCTTTCTTCTCTCCTCCTCGCCCAAGCAAACCTGAAAACAAGGCTGCTTTTTGGATCTGGGAAGTTGGTGTGCAGCACTTTAGAACAGATTGAGCAGGTGCTAGCGCATCCAAAGAACGTTTTGCAGTCCCGCGGGGTGCTGGGTAGCCCTGAGGTAAGAGGTGTCTCTGAGGCAGACCCTGATGCTGGGGGAGCCTCTGTTCCATTGCTGGATCCCCTTGGCGAGAACAGCACTAGAATTATTCAGCTAACGTCATTATTCCGACTACAGGTGACCTGCTGCATGTCAGCCTGGTTTCCCAGGTGGTGTGCTGGCAAACACAAACATCTGGTGTGCTCCACGGTGGGTTTTCTTCTTGGACGTGTTACTGAGTGTCTAGGTTTCCTGTATCACCCCTGTGCCTTGTTAGCTCTGTCAGCATGCCCGTGGCCCATGGTACACCTGCAGATCTGAACCTATAACATGAGGGCTACATTCTGGGCAGTGGAATTCACTCATCCTTAGGTAGATCTTTTTTGTCACCCCCTCCCCTTTTTTTTTATTTTTATAATTGTTCATTGACACAGTGCCTCACATGTGCAAGGCAAGCGCTCCACCACTGAGCCACAGCACCAGCCCCTGTTTTTCCTCTTTATATACTCTAGGCTTTTGTTTCCCAGCACCTAGCATGTAGCCGTCACCCTTGCTTATTTAAAGCCACCAATTCTACCATTATGCCATGGTCTTGTGGTGTCTGGTGGTTCCCTCCTGGTTGCCTTGAGCTTTATCGGCCCCTCCCTCTGGACTTTGGTCTTTGCTTAGAGATTTAATTCATGTTCTATGGGATTCATCCATTTAAGGCAAACAATTCCTCCCTCAAGTTTTTTTTTATTACCAGTAACTGCTTAGAAAGTGTGACTGACATAAAGCAGAGTGATTGCCAGGGTGCTCAGTGTGGCAGGGCCTTTGGTAGGCTGTGGCTGCTACTGGCCGCTCCCTGCATAGGTGATGTTTTCAGTTTGGGACTGTAGCGGAATCCGGTGTTGCCTCTGGGGTTTGACGGGTGTGAGTTGGGCTGCTTCCCCTGGGCCTTGTTAATCCTCTGTTGAGTGACCTTTGGGCACATCGTCAAAAATACCTGCTGCAGGTAGAAACCAGATGGTTCTGGTTCTGGTTGACTGGGTCCTGTTATGTTGCCCATGCTGGCCTCAAAATCTTTGGCTTCTGCCTCCCAAACAGCTGAGGCTACAGAGGCACGCCACTGCACCGGGTCCCCTGTTTTTGTTTTTAATTTACATACCATAAAGTCACTCATTTAAGTATACATTCCAAAGATTTTTACATTTTACAGATTCATGCAGCTATCACCACAGTCCAATTTTAGAATATTTCCATCATCCCTCAAAGATCCCTGTGTCCATTTGCAGTCACTGCCCAGTCCACCCCCAGCACCAGAGAATCACTAGTCCACTTCCTGTCCCAGTCAATTTGCCTTTTCTGGACATACTGTGTGATTTCATTCCATGAAACGTCCAGATAAGGAGCGTTTTGACAGATTTAATGGATGGTTGCTTTTAGACGATAACTTCCTGCTTGGGAACATGCCTTTTCTGCAAATTAGTTACCTGGGACTTCCTGGCTTGTGTGGGAGCTCCTGGGGAAGGGAGTGTGCTTTTTGCACAGTAGCAGCCTTCTTCACGGAGAGATTGGTATTTCGAGAAACATCTGGTTTCATGCCTATCAGGGAGTATTTTAGAGACACAGCAGTCCTGTATGCTTTCAGAGGTTAAATAAGCCAGTTGGTGAAATAAGCCAGGCAAACGTGGAAACAACTAGAGAGGGGTAAAATGACCCACCTTGGCCTGGTTAGGTGGCACAGCATCCACAAGGGTCCTGGAGTCTGTGTTTGCCACCCTGGATGCTTGCATGGAGACCTGGTTATCAAGCACCCTTGTGCGGACCCTATGCAGATCAGTATTAGTGGGGACTGGAGTGCAGGGAGGTGTGGAATCCAATGATCAAGTTATTTTTGGTGGTTTCCTTTCCTGGGAGTCATCCAGAGAAAGGTGATTCTTCTAGGCTAGTTTTTTTCTCCCTTTCTGAGAGGCCAACCTCTAGCCTTTTATATGCAAATAATCTGGTTGGAGTTTTATAACATTGTTTTTTATTTCCCTTTGATTAGAGCAGGGCCAGATTTTGGGACTCCTTGAAACCCGGGTCTATCTCCTTGTGCTCAAATGGAAACAATGGTGGTGTGGCCTACATTGCCAATGAGAGAACTAGAGTTAGGAAGGTTGTTTCTAAGGCTTTTGTGATTTGAGTGGCCTGTCTGGTTTGGGAGAGGACAGAAAAAGTTAGGGAACGTGCCCCTGGGGGTGCTGTACTCACCAGCAGCACATCTCCTTCCTAGCCTCACTTCGCCAGCTCTGATCTCTCAGGGCTAAGCTTCCCTTGGCCTGGTTAGGTGGCACAGCATCCACAAGGGTCCTGGAATCTGTGTTTGCCTCTGCAGGTCATTTTTCTATATTGGTTGTGTATGTCTTGATAAGGGGGGCCAGGGGCAGAAGCAGTACACAGCTGAACCACAGCCGGGTGGGTAGATGGCTCCTTCTGGATGACATGGTTCTTCCTGTACAAGGAAGGACTCGCCAAGCAGGCCTGAAGGCAGCTCAGGCTTTAGAAACAGCTCACAGAAGGACTGGCTGGATCTTAAGGCTCTGGTGCTCTTGGAGATAGGAAGATCATGGGCCTCCTCCTACGGGAATGTGCATGTCCTTTGAAGCCATATTGCCCTGTCACAGCAGCTGGGTTCTGCTTTGTGTTTCAGACTTTTGCCGAGTTGCGAAGGTGGTGGGGCGATGCCGGGCCTCCATCCCCAGATGGTGGTACAATGTCACTGAAGGGTCTTGCCAGCCATTCGTGTATGGTGGCTGTGAAGGTAATGACAACAATTACCAGAGCAAGGAGGAGTGTCTTGAGAAATGTGCTGGTGTTACAGGTGAGACCTTGGTAGTATGGGAAATTTTACTGTTTAAAAATAGTTTATTGGATGTGGACACTCTCTGCTGTATGCTGCTGCTTCACTGCAGAACCTTCCAGAGATTTAAAAAGCAGAACAAACTAGCTCAGTGCGCTACAGCCTCACAGTTGTTCACAGGTCTCACCTCCTCTTCCTGAAAGGGAGAACAGACCTCTTCTGATTGAAGGTGCCCGCCTGCACAGTCCTAGAGGATGGAACTTTCAACTTGCTCACAGGCTGCCCTCCGCTCCCTGGGCCTTTGGGTTATTTTTAGCTCTTGGACAAATGACACAAAAGTTCATACAGCCAAATTATGAGTTAACACTGGAATGTGGGTCATGGGATCAAGATAATGTTGATCCTGACAGCCTAACAGTTAAATAAAAACCTAACATACTGCCAGCAGGCCCTGGCCACCCCCAGCCTGGGAAGACTCCTTGAGAGCTAATGGCAGGGAGGTGTTGGCATCCTGGGACCTGATCCTTCCCAGGTGTTCCAGAGCCCGCAGATGGGGCTTTCCAGACACCCTTTTTTTGGGGGGTGGGGGGTACTAGGCATGGAATTTGGCACTCAACCACTGAGCCACACCCCCAGCCCCGTTTTGTATTGTATTTAGAGACAGGGTTTCACTGAGTTCCTTAGCGCCTTGCTTTTGCTGACACTGGCTTTGAAGTCGTGATCGTCCTGTCTCAACCTCCCAAGCTGCTGGGTTTACAGACATGGGCCACTGTGACTGGCCAGTCTTTTTTTTTTGTGGATACAATATCTTTATTTTATTTTTATGTGGTGCTGAGGATCAAACCCAGTGCCTCATGCATGCTAGGTAAGTGTTCTACCTCTGAGCCATAGCCCCAGCCCTGGCCAGACAATCTTATAAGTACTATCTTAATGTTAGTATATGACTTCATGCAGGTTTTTTTTTTTTTAGTTGTGTGTGGAAGGAGGATTGAACTCAGGGGCACTCGACCACTGAGCCACATCCCCAGACCTATTTTGTATTTTATTTAGTGACAGGGTCTCACTGAGCTGCTTAGGACCTCACTGTTGCTGAGGCTGGCTTTGAACTCTTGATCCTCCTGCCTCAGCCTCCCAAGCCTCTGGGATTACAGGTGTGTGCCACCAAGCCAGGCTCATGCAGCTGACTTGGCTTTGAGGCTGGGACTCTTCAGTGTGGACCCTGTGTTGTCTTCTCAGCACCTACTGTCAGCCCCTGAGCCTGTCCTGCCTGTCCTTGTCTGGTGCTCACAGCTTTCTGTTTGTCACCCACTGGCTATAATCCCTCTTTGCTTTGAGCTATGCATTCAGAGATCAGATAAGCTTATTTAAGTTTGTAAAGAGAGGACAAAAGTGGCCTTGGCTGTGACCTCAGGTCTAAAGCAGTGCAGGAGCACACAACCCAGCAGTGCACCCCTTGAGGGGCAGTTTGCCTTTCTCTCAGCAATAGTCTGGAGAGCTGAGGAGGCAGAGTGTGAGCTGAGATCAGACAGATCAGTCCCTCATCTCTGGGGGTAACTGGAACTTCCCAAGATGGCAACTGAGGGAAATGTCATTTATTTTTCCATCATCAGCAATGATGCCATGTGGGGAAATTTACCACTGTGCTCTCCCCATCTTCTCAGGAGGAGGATTGAGGTGTTGGGGACACACAGGGGACCAATGGATGTAAGAAGAAACGTTGCTACTTGGGGCAAGGGTTGTGTTTTGCTGGGAGAAGGCAGGTTTGCTGACTTCTTGGAGCTGGGCCAGGGCCTGGCACCAGCTGCAGGGACCTAGAAAGTTCATGTGTGGCACCAGCTGTGACTCTCGGGTTCTCTCACAGCAGCCTGAGAAGAGCTGGAAACTGCCAGAGCCACAGTCCTGGGAGTTCTTGCCAGCGTGTCCGCTCTCCTAGGTAGGCAAGCTCTGGGGAGCCAGATAAGAATGTTTATTAATTTATAATGAGAACTAGAACGCCTAGGGGACAACACTCATGTCCCTCTGCCCACGCTTGAGTCCACGCAGACAAGCCTCTCAGCCAGATTGCTGGGAGGTTGCTTGGTGGGGAGAGAGGCAGAACAGGGGAGCTGTTTTGTGAGGTAATTGTCCAGCGGCATCCGGATAGGTAGGCCAGCCCTGATCCTCTCCAAGGTCACTCCCAGACCAGCCAGCCTCTTCACCCACCCCCTTAACTTGTGTGGGGGGTGGTGGGAATAAAAGGTACTTCACATAAAACTGGCCATTTGAACCTTATTTTCTTTTTTAGGCAGTATTAGGGTTTGAACCAAGGGCCTTGCACAGTTAAGCGTATACCACTGAGCCATGTCCTCACCCTTTTCTTTATTTTTTCTTGAGACAGGGTCTTGCCAACTTGCCTCTGTTGGCCTTGAACTTGTGATCCTTCAGCCTTAGCCTTTTTTAAAATATTTTTTAACTGTAGGTAGACAAAATATATTTATTTTTATGTGGTGCTGAGGATCAAACCTAGTGCCTCACACATGCTAGGCAAGTGCTCCTCTGCTGAGCCCCAGCTCCAGCCCAGCCTTAGCCTTTTGAGTAGCTGGAATTACAGGAGTGTGCCACACACCTAGCACTGCTTTAAGTTTACACCGTTGTAGGGCTCTTAACCTTTTAATTTTTTTTTTTTTTTTTTTTTTTTAATTTTGAAACAAGTTCTCCCTAAGTTGCCCAGGCTGGCCTCTCTGTCCGGCCTCTCTGCTTTTTAAAGTCACTCAGCATGTCTTTGCTTTGACTTCCTTAAAGTTGAATTCTCAGAGCCAGCCTGGGTTCTTCATGTCAAAATCAATCATGCAACTGAACACACCATCCACAGAAGAAATGAGCCAGGCACACGCCTATAACCCTAGCACCTCCAGAGGCTGAGGCAGGAGGATCGGGAGTTCAAAGTCAGCCTCAGCAACTTCGCGATACCTTGTCTCAAAAGATAAAAAGAGCTGGTGATGTGATTCAGTGGTCAAGAGCCCTTGATTCCATCCCCAGAACCAAAAAAGAAGAGATAGGAGCACCTGAGGGCACCAGGACCACCCACACCTGCTGGCCTTTCTTCACACACAGTGGGGAGGTGCACTGTCTTCTGCATTGTTTATTTGTTCCCTTGCAGAAAATTCCATTTATGATCTGGACTCCAGTAGGAATGGAGGAGCTTCTTCTGTCCCAAGTGGTAAGTTCTTAAAAGGACCCCGAAGGGAATGAGGGCCACCTGGATGGCAATTGAGAAAGGACATTGTAATTTTGGAGTTGTAGAGGGCTTCCACCTCCTGGTCCTGTTGGCTCAGAATCGGTAAACATGGCTCTGCCAGGGCAGCCGGCTTTGGGCTGCGACATTCTGCCACTGGGGAGCTATCCTGTCCTGTGCACAGGAGGGTTAAGGGTTCTGTGGTGCTTCCTGGCTGCCCAGAGGAGGCTCAGGTCCCTGCCTGTGGGCCTCGCCCCGCTATGCTGTCTCCTCCCCCACCCCAGCTTTCTCGCCTGTTCTCCCTCCTCTGCTCCCTGTTATGTTGCTGTCTCCCGGGCTCCATCCTTTGCCGCCCGCCCGCCTCTTGGCCTGATGCAGTCCTGAGCTTGGCATTAGCTTGCTTTGTAGTGCTCACAGCAGCCGCCCCACTCCTCCTTTATACTTAAGGACTCTGCAGCAGGAGCCTGGGTGAGTGGTACCTGCACTAGCAAAGGCACCTCAGGGGCCAATCCCCAGGCAGTGGGCTAGGGGGGGTGGGCAGAGAGACCTGCCATGCAGGGAGGGAGGGACTGTGCCCCATCCGTTCAAGGAAGAAATCCCGGGGTGCCCACACACTAATTGTAGTCTGGACCTTGCCTCTGACTCACACAAGTGCCACACTTGTGCCACATGAGAATGTTTTAGTTAGGTGGCTGTGAGAGGTCGCCTGGCTTGCAGCATGCCAGGGTTAGCTAGAGTCGCTTTCCGGTTGTGCTAGGCCAGGAGTCCTGTACCTGTTCCGGCACTTCTCTGCCTGGATGCACTGTTCACTCCCTTGGCTGGCCTCTCAAGCTCATCCAGAACCTGGTCCCGCCATGGTAACTTAGGTTTCCATCCTGTTTCAGAAAAATTTCCCCAGGAGAATGAAATTTCTAGTTGCATCAGAAAGTAGGAACAACACTGTCCTGATGGCACCAGAAATGGTGTCTGGGTCAGTTTCCATAGTGATCTCTAGGTGGTGGGATTGTTCATTGACACTGTCCTGTGCTTTGACTAGGAGGTGCTGTGGTCCACACCCTTCCTTAAAGGTGACACTTATGTCTCTGCTCTCTTAGTGGGCCCTTATAGACTTAGTCCCCACTAGGACATGTGTCTTGTGTCCATCCCAGCTTCCCTGACAAAGATGTTTGTGTTTCAGTTCCCAGAAGGCAGGATTCTGATGACCTCTCTGATGATGTTTTCAACTATGAAGGTATAACTTTCTAAAGAAAAATTATGCATGATTTCTTGCTAAGGGGCAATTAAATCATCTACTGAGGGAGGGCCAGGGATGGGGTCCAGTGGTAGAGAACTTGCCTAGCCTGCATGAGGCCCTGGGTTCCACCCCTAGCACTGCAAAAAAAAAGAAAGAAAGAAAAGTAAAAGAATTGCAACTGGGCGCAGTGACGCACACCTGTAATCTCAGGCTCGGGAGGCTGAGGCAAGAGGATTGCGAGTTCAGAGCCAGCCTAAACAACAGCGAGGTGCTTAGCAACTCAGTGAGACCCTGTCTCTAAAAATACAAAACAGGGCTGGGGATGTAGCTCAGTGGTTGAGTCCCCCTGAGTTCAATCTCTAGTACCAAAAAAAAAAAAAAAAAAGAAAGAAAGTAGAACAGAGCTTTTTGGCCTTTCTGGGTAGTGGCATTGTGGACTAGGATGGGAGGTGACAGTCCTCAGCAAGTGCTCCACGCTAGCATTGAAAGGATGTGCCAGGGGAGAAGATTTACTGGAAAGGGAGTGGAGTGGAGTTCTAGAATTTACCTTCTGCTCTGCCTCCCACCTGCTGTGGGACTGTGGGTGAGTTGCTGCAGCTCCACCTCACAGTTCCTAGGTATGCAGTGAGGGTCCAGGACAGATCTGGTGGAATCTGAGTCAGTATTCGGAAGGTGCTGGGAACAGTCCCTGGCACCTTTCCCGTAGTGTCATCTGTACGGGAACCCAGTCTTGGCTGTGAAGAAGCTATGTGAGGATGTAGGGCAGAGCGGCAGCTGGGAGAGTGGCCCTGTCAGTAACTCACCCAGGTCCTTTACTCTGAGAGAGCTCTCCACCGGAATTTCTCCACCTGGTCTGCTGAGGCACCTTCTAGCTCTTCCCCTTCTCTGGGGTCCTGCTGACTGGTGCTGCTGTGACGCTCCTGCTCTTGCCTACAGAATACTGCGCTGCCAAGGCCGTCACAGGGCCCTGCCGGGCAGCCTTCCTACGCTGGTACTATGATGCTGAGAAGAACTCCTGTGACAACTTCATCTATGGAGGGTGCCGGGGCAATAAGAACAGCTATCTCTCCAAGGAGGCCTGCATGCAGCGCTGCTTTGGTGCGTCCGCCTGACCCAAGTCCAAGACAGAGTTAGGTGGTTGGCCCTCCCCAAGGACTCGAGTCCCTTTCTCCTTCCCTCAGAAGAGAGCTGTGGGAAGGCTGTTCTTTGGATCCCACCAGATGGCAAGGCCTCAGCCCCACAGTTAGAAGTCCCTCAGAAAAAGCTCCCTGCGAGGACCCCAAGGCTGAGAGGAGCCTGAGGGGCAGCCTGGGTTGGTGGCCACTCCATGAGCTGGGAAGGGCTGTGAGCTGACCTCTCAAGAGTTGTGTGTTCTCTTCCAGGAAAGGAGATGTACCCTGTTCTGCCCCTTGCGACCAAAGGTTAGTGACCTCTTGCTGTCCTCCAGCTGCCTACAGCCTTCCTTCCTCCGCTGAGCTCCGTCTGCTCAGCTGCGGTTTCTTTAGGCTCGTGTTGTCTTGCCCACGTTATCTTTTCACTCTAAACATCTTTTTGGTGGAAAGCTCTTGTCTTTACATGAGATTGGAACATGTGGTGGCCATTCGTCCCAGCGCACTTTGTACACAGATAGGCTGGTGTGAGTCAATAATTCCAGAGGCCATCCCTGCCCAGGCAGCCAGGGGGGGTAGGACAAGTCTCCACCACGAGGCCTGGGGGCTCTGCCACCTGAGGCTGACCTGAGGGTTGAAGAGAGCTCTACTGTTGTAGGGTATAAACAGTTGGTCAGGGTTTCCAGAGAGGAGAGCCGCATGGGCGACAGGCCAGTTCCACTGTCCCCCAGCAGTCTGGCCTTTCGTGGAGGCTCAGCATCCTCTCGCTTTTGTTTCTGAGCCCGAGTTGTGAATCTTGGCGCAGATGACTTGCCACACTGGTTTGGCCTCTTTCTTGACCTGTTTACCAGCCAAGGAGCCAAGACCTGGCCTGCAAGTCTGCCTGGTTCTAGAAACTGGAACCTGGTTTCCCGGGTGTGGGGGTGGGAAGCTGCCCAGGCCTTAAGAGTTGGTCGGGGGGTTGAGGTGGACGGGAATGCTCCAAAGCCAGAGTCTGAAGTTCTTTAGCCAGTGGAGGAGGGGAAGTCAAGAGGCCGCACAGGAAGTCACACACCTTAGACAGAGCCCTGCCCAGAAAGAAAGCATCCTCACTAAGCAGTGGGACGAACAATCGATCCATTGTTACATCTACCCAGCAATTAGGAGCACCTGGGTCCCTTCCAGCGCCTGCTCCAGATGTACCCTTAGCTCCACCCTGGCGTCACTCCACCAGCAGACCTTTTGGGCACCTGCAGGGTCACATTTTTCTCTGCTGGCCAGGAGTATGTGTGGACTTGGAACCTTTGGGGTTTTATGTTACACACTACAGGTAAGAGTTTTGCACCCCTGGTGTGCATCTGTTGCCTGAGGATCCCATACAGTTTGCCCCAACTGGTGGCTGGGGATTTGGAGTAGAAGTGGTGTTTTTCAAAAAGGAGGAGCACAAAGAGCCACCGTGTGCACATGGCACGGCACGGCACCTCCTCTTTTCAGGGGCTCTCCTTGGTTGACCTCCCTGCAGGCTGTCTCCCTAGTTCCAATTCTGCAAGCCCTTCTGGGTCGTGAGAAGTTCTGTTCCTTGTCCTGCTCACTCAAGGCTGTCATGTGTCCCTGGGGAGCCGCCTGCTTCCTCTCTGCCTCCTTGCCTCACTGGTCTCCTATCTTGTCCCCAGCGGTGGTCCTGGCAGGTCTGTTTGTGATGGTCCTGATCCTCCTCCTGGGAGCCTCTGTGGTCTGCCTGATCCGGATAGCACGCAAGAAGCAGGAGCGTGCTCTCCGCACTGTCTGGAGCTCGTCAGATGACAAGGAGCAGCTGGTGAAGAACACATATGTTCTGTGAAGGCCTTGTCGCCAGGAGAACGGGGGAAAGGAGGGGAGAATGTGTGCTTTTTTTAAAACTAGAGTGATTGATTATATCTGTGAGATCATTAGGGCTTCGGTCTGTCTGTTGCTTGGACGCTGAAGCGCTGCTTCTCCACCCCACCGCATCCCACGGTGGTGACTTCTTTCTGTGCCCCAGGTGTAGTTTTCTATGCTCATGTTGAACTCCACTGCCTCCTTGCCCACCACAAAAGCAATGTTTTAATAGTTTCCTTGGTTTGTTTGATTCATGGTTGTTGTTGTTGTTTTTAAGTAGAAACAAAAGGGTGTTTTTTTTTTTTTTTTTTTTTAAGAAATTAGGATTCTGAAAGGAAGAAAACAAAACATGTAAGTTTAATAAAAAAGGGTCTTCCCTTTTAAAGTGAATTTGAGCATGTGCTTTATATCTTAACTGATCTACAAATTTATACTCCACCAAAATTATATTAAGACTCGATGTGGGATATCCCATTCCAGATACTGACCCTTTAAGTATCATCTTTCAGATCTTTTTGATCTGAAAAGATGTGAAATAAATTTTACATTACTAAGTGCCTGTGAAGTTTCATCAGACAACCTTCAGCCTTACCATCTGTGGACAATTCTGATACTGACGCCAGGCACATCAGTGCACCCCTGTAATCCCAGTGGCTCTGGAGTCCAAGGCGGGAGGATCATGAAGTCAAGGCCAGCCTTGGCAACATAACAAGACCCTGTCTCAAATGAAAAAAAAGTTCCAACCCCAACTACCAACTGATTGCTGTGACCCACCAATGGCTGTGACCCATCCTTTGAAACACTGCCTTGGAGGGCACCCGAGGATGAGAATAGTGAGCCTCCTGTCCAGGGAGGACCTGCCTGAGAGTGCAATGGTTTCACCAGAGTTACTTGGTGTCTGAGTTTGTCTCCTCAGTTCTGCAGTCTCTCCTACAGGAGGGGAGGGAGCGGCTTTTCCTTCTGGAACTCTTCTTTCTAGGCTCCCACATGCCCCTGTGTTGACACAGAACAGAGTCCTGCTCTGCTGAGTTGGGTCTCCAGCCAGGCTCAGTCCTGCTGCCTCCCTGTGACTTTCCCTTCTGGACTGGAAGCCCCCTTCTTCTCTTCTCTTTCCAAACAAGGTAGTCCTCAAGGTCAGGCGGGCATTCTGTGCCCCCGCCCCCCCCCCCCCCCCCCCCCCGCATGGGGATGGGCGCCTGGCCCTCATTCCTGGGTGCACAGTGCGGCATGACACTTTGAGATGTTGCTCTGGATTCTTCTTGCAACAAAAGGACTTGGCGTCCTTCCCTTGGCCCTTCCTAGAAATCCCTTAAAGCCTTAAAACCAATTCCAAAAGCAAGCTGGGCAGACACCTCATGGGCTCCTTCCTGGCCCCTTTGCCACGGTGGATGTTGCTGGTGGACTCCGGCCTTCTCCCCACTGGGCCTGGCAGCCTTAGCTGCCCATCCAGGCATCCGTGCCAGTTGGCTCCGAGCTGGTGAGCAGTGAGACCTGCTTGCGGCATCCCCAGCACGTGGAGAGCCCAGAGCTCCTGGAGAGCTGGGTATGGGAAGAGATTTGGCCAGGGGTTCTCCAGCTCCCTGTGTTGTTGGAAGAGCCACCTGAGCACACAGAAGCAGGTCTCCCTGGCCAGCAGGGGATCCTCCCTCAGGCTGCCCTGGCTGCTGCTTCTCACAGGATACCAGGGGGTCTGGCCATGGTGGGCACTGGCCTGGTCACAGGGCTGCTGTTGCAGGTTGCTCAGGGGACTCCCACATGCCCTCAGGACACTTGGAGCATAACTGTCATGCTTTCAACTTTCTGCACCATTTCCTGGCTGATAATGGTGCTTTTTTGTTGCAAAGGCTGCCCAAGGTGGCCAGTAGCTACAGCATTCAGTGAACATTTCGCACTCTCTGTCATCTCAGGCTGCTGGCATCACTGAGAGATAGGATGGGCTCTTAAAATATCAACCAAGCCAGGCTATGGTGGTCCACGTTTGTAATCCCAACAATCCCAGGGAGAAGATGCAAATTCAAGGCCAACCTCAGCAATTTAGTGAGGCCCTGAGCAACTTAGTAAGACCTTGTCTCTAAGTAAAAAATATAAAGTACAGGGGATGTGGCTCAGAGATAAAGCACTCTGAGAGTTCAATCCCCAGTACTGTCCCCCCAAAATCAACTAGGTCTGTGTTCCCAGTGACTAGGGAGACTGAGGCAGGATGATCCTAAGTTCAAGACCAGCCTGGGTTCAATTCCCAGTACTCAGGAGGAGGTGATGGCAAGGGTGATGGTCCTGATCCTGGGAATGCAGCTGAGTGGTAGAGAGGTTCCCTGGGGATTGAATTCAAGCACAAGACCCTGGTTCAATCCCCAACACCTCTACACACAAATCAGATTTCTCACTCTTCCTCCTCCTTCTGCACACATTTAACTAAGGCAGACAGTGTGGCTGTTCCCAGAAAGGGTTTCACCCAGGTCATCTGGGTGAGGATCAGGATAAAAGGATTGAGGTTATATAGAATTTTTTGTTTGGGTTTGGGGTATTGGGAATTGAACTCAGGGGAATATTACCACTGAGCCACATCCCCAGCCTTTTTTAAATTTTATTTTGAGATAGAGTCTCACTAAATTGCTGAGGCTGGTCTCGAACTTGTGATCCTCCTGCCTCTGCCTCCCAAGTCACTGGGATTACAGGCATGTGCATCACGCCTGGCTAGAGTACTTTTAAAATCTGGGATTCTACCCCTATCGTTCCTGAGTGTGATAAGTCTTTCTTTTCCCTAATATCAAGCCTTGACTCGAAGGGTATCTGATCAGCTCAGGTCAGCCTTGAAGACAATGACCACTCAGGTGAGTGTCCTGTTTGCCAAGACCCCCACGTGGGCCAAAATTGGAGCTATAATGAGGTTCGCCAACAATGGCAGCTTCTGAATGTGGGACCCACCCCCACCAGGTGGTTTCTAAAAGCATGTACTGGTACAGCCTTGTTCGACTTTTTAAAAATTTTTATTGATTTTTATATCTTGGATTGAACCCAGGGACGCTTAACAACACTGAGCCACATCACCAGCAGCTTTCGTTTTTTATTTAGAGATGGTCTAGGTTGCTTAGGGCTTAAGTTGCTGAGCCTCCCAAGCTGCTGGGATAACAGATGTGTTCCACCACACCCAGCTACCTTGTTCCAATTTTGTTTATGCAAAGTCATGTTTCTGACCCCTGAGGAGTCCTGGGCAATGGCATTCACAGGGCACCTGAGACCATCTCAGTATCATTACCCAAGTTTCCAAGTCAAGTTTAACAATTCCAGAGCCAAAGGACCCTGTGCCCCTCCCTGCAGGTTTTGTATATGTGTTTGGGGGCTGGGCCACAGAATGTCTCTCTGCTGGGAAAGACGGTTGCCTTTTGGCCCTGTGGTGACACTAAAGATCTATAGGTAAGTCTAAACTCCCTTGTATGGGGTCTACATTAGCATTAGGCACATCCAACCTATGAAATAAGACCTGGACCCTCCCCAGGCTGCTGGGTGGCATGCTCCAGGCTTAGTATGCCTCATGGTGGTCTCCTGCTGCTGCCCGGGTTCCTGTTTATACTAGCTGTGGGAGACAAAGCAAACAAATTTGGTCCCAGCCTCTGGTGGTCAGATTCATCAGTGACCAATATCATGGCACATTCTTGAGATTTCACCAGAAGCCAATGTGCTGTAGGATTGAGGAGCAGATTCTTAGGAGAAACAGCCTTCTCACAGCATTTCTGCTCCTGTAGGTCTTGGGTGGGCGAGAATGTGTAACCCTAGCCAGCGCAGTGGCGCATGACTGTGATCCTAGCAGCTTGGGACAAGAGAATCATGAGTTCAAAGCCAGTCTAATAAAATATGAAAAAGGGCTGGGGATATGGCTCAGTGGTTGAGTACCCCTGGGTTCGATTCCCAGTACAAAAAAAAAAAAGTGTTACTCTGACCGTTCTTTACCCAGGATTGGGTTTGTAGCACTGTTTGAAACACTAACAGGCCAGCATGTTAGTTGATAAGTAATAAAACCCATCCCAGAGCTGACAGCTGGGTGGAGGCCAAGCTTGGACCTCCCCAGCTGGATTGGCAGTCCCTTGGCACTTTCCAAAGAAGGGCCGTCCAGATTCTCTGATTATTGGTAAGTATCCGAGGACCTAAGGGCCAGACCAGATGGGTTGCAGGCAAAGGCCAGTGCAGCGTTTGCTGAGAAAGGAAACTGAGTCTCTGCAGACGGTGTGCGTCAGGTCACAAATTCGCTAGGATGTGGTTGATTTCAAAGAAAACATTCCCAGATATGGATCCTGATGTTTATGGACCGGGCAGTCCACTCTTGTAAACTCCAGGAAAGACCAGACCCAGCTGGCTTCAGATGCTCTTGCAGTCAGCTGCGGCTGGCCCCAGATGCACAGGCCAACGAGGCCAAGAGGCCTGCCCTTCCCCAGCCCACACCTGGCTTCCCTGTTCTCCAGGTCGAATCCAGAAATCTCTTCCTAAATTGCAGCAATAAAGGAAAAGCCTCAGGACTGTAGTGACCCTTTGAGGATGTCTGCTTCCTTCAGGTGACACGTTTTTTAGAAAGGATGCTGACCCAAGGAGTCAGTATCTGTTTCAGTTTGGATCTGGACTGTCCCCCAAAGGCCCGGTCCCCATCTGGTGATGCTACTGAGAGGTGATGGGAACTTCAGAAGGCAGGGCCTGGTGGGGGTAATAGGTCCCTGGGGGCATGGCCTTGAAGGAGGTATTGTGTCACCAGCTCTGTCCTTGTGATGGAGCTCTGTCTTCTGGCCATCACTAGGTGAGCAGCTTTGCTCCACCACGTGCTCCGCACCATGGCGGCCAGCATCACCACAGGCCCAGGGACGAGGGAGCCAAGAGACCATGAGCTGAAACTGTGAGCCAAAGTAAACCTTTCCTCCTGTACATGGGTTTTCTCAGGCATTTGGTCACAGTGATGAGAAGCTGACGACACAATATTGCTGCAGACCCGTCGGGATGCAGGCCCCTTTTTCCTGCAGAGAGAGCCTCTGCTCCAGGGCATTTTATGTGGAAATGATAGGGAATGAGCAGGGGAGGGCAGGCCTGTCAGATGCCAAGGCTCGGCCAACAAGGGAGTTCTATACCTGAGATGAGCAGAGGCCAAGGCCAGACGGGCCTGGGACAGACAAGCTACTGTCCCTGGCTTGTTAGCCATGGCAGACGACAACTGAGTGGTGAGGAGCTGGCACTTTCCAAACAGCAGAAGGCTGGCTGGCCTTTTTTGTCTTTGGACCTCACACCTGTTTCTCATCCACCTCCCCAGCTGGCCACCATTTGTAAACCTGAAGTCGGCAGAGCAAGGGAGAAAGGGGCACTCACTGCCACTAACGCTACCAACAGGGAGTGACAACAGAGATGGGATCCCACATCCATTTCTCCTTTATTTCAGTAACACAAGCCCCCAGGTTTTTCCTGGGCACAGCTGCCCAGCTAAGAATGATATTTCCCAGCCTCCCTTGCAGTTAGATGTAACCATCTGTCTAAGTCCTGGCCAATGGGTTGTGAGCACGTGGGTACATCTGCCTTCCTGGTCATCAGGATTGAACCAAGGGTGCTCCACCACTGAGCTGCATCCCCGGCTTTTCAAATTTTTGAGTCAGTCTCCCTAACTTGCCAAGCCTGGCCTAGAACTTGCAAACCCCATGCCTCAGCCTCCTGATTAGGTGAAATAGCGCCCAGGGCCTTGAACATGATAGGGGAGAGAGAGCTCTACCATGGAGCCACGCCCCTAAGCCCTAGGTCAGGTCGTGCTCCCCACCTGCCCTTTTTCTTCCCAAGAACCCAGTGGTAGAAGCCCGCTGCCATGGGCAATAATAAAGGGAAGGAGCCCGGGTCCCTGGACGATCTCCTGGAGCACCAGCTCTGATTCCCCTCGACTCAGACTTTCCTGTGAAAGAAAATGGCACCATCTTGCTAAGCCTCCATCTTGTAGGTCTCTGTAAAAGATTCCAGACTCAGGTCCTAACCATAATCCAACAGTTAATGAGAGGCGGACAGAGCCACGTTCCCCCTGTGCCCATTCACCCGCCTTGAAACGAGCAGGGAGCTTCATCTTGGGAAGGGCTCCGTCGCTGGGTCACAGCTCACTAGCGGTGTCTGGGGCAAGAAGCTGCACTGCTTTCAGGCTCATCGCCTCAGATAAACCTGAGGATCCTATTGCCAATTTCATGATCAATAATAAGGTTTTGGGAAATAATTATAAAGACTAACCTTTATTGGGCTTCCATCGACCTGTGCCAGGCAGACTGTGCAAAACTTGTGAGACCAGAAAAGAGAAGTCGGGGGCTGCTTACCACCGAGCAGTAAGGGGCGGAGCAAGGACGCCCCATCAGCGACTGACCTCAGGACCCAAACTGGCCGGTCTGTGCTGGCTCTAACCTGCCGTTAGCATGCTCCCTGGCCTCAGGTAACCTCACTGATTCACCAAATGATGGTGAGCAGCGAGGCTGAGTCACACAGATCCGGTGACAGCACCGCAGACCAGGTCCCCACCCTCATGGAATTCATGCTCCACCAGGAGAAACACACACTCTCATATCCTGCCCTCAGCTGTGGGCAAAGCCACACTCACTCAGCGGGAGAAAGACCCATTTACAATCCCCACCCCACCCTGCCTCCTCTCCTCACCTCACCGCTTCATCTCCACCCTCTGCCTTCTGTTCTCCACTCTGACCTCCTTGCAATGCCTTGGACACACAGGCACATTCCCACCTCAGGGCCTTTGCACTTAGGATTCCTCCGCCTAGAGCACTCTTCCTCCATATCTTTAGTTTTTTTTTTTTTTGTAGTTGTATTTGGACATAAAAAAAGATAAATAAAATAAAGGTATCAAGAGAGAGAGGGAGAGAATTTTTTTTAACTAAGAGTTATGAGACCAGCCTGGGCAACAGCAGCAGGACCCTTCCTCTAAATAAAACAAAACAGCTGGGCTTGTGGCTCACACCTGTAATCCCAGCAGTTTGGGAAGCTGAGGCAGGAAGATCGCCAGTTCAAAGCCAGCTTCAGCAACTTAGCAAGACCGTCTCTAAATAAAAAATAAATAAAAAGGGCTGGGGATGTGGCTCAGTGGTAAAGTGCCCTTGGGTTCAATGAAATTAAAAACAAAATATTCAGTGACGCTTTCCCTGGTGACTTTAAATCCAACCCTTCCCCATCATACCAAATAATTATTACTCTTTCCTCTTGTATTTGTCTTTTGTTTTTTTAGATATATTTCTTAGTTGTAGTTGGACACAGTACCTTTATTTATTTTTATGTGGTGCTGAGGATGGAACGCAGGGCCTCACACATACTAGGTGAGTGCTCTACCATTGAGCCCAGCCCCTTGGGGCTTTTGTTTGTTTGTTTGAGACAAGGTCTCCATGTTGACCAGGCTGGCCTCAAACTCCTGGGCTCAAGTGATCCTCCTGCCCCTCAAGTAGCTGGGACCCAGGGCTGATGGGCCTGCCCTCAGCTGCATTTTCTTATTCTGTTTTTGGTACTCGGGGGCCACTGAGCTGCACTCCCAACCCTTTTTAATTTTGAGATAGGATCTTGCTAATTGCCAAGGTGGCCTTAAACTTGCAATCTTCTTGCCTCAGCTTCCGGAGCAGCTGGGATAACAGGCATGTGCCACTGTGACTGGCCATTTTTTTTTTTTTTTTAATACGAATGCTTTTATTGAGGTATAAGTTACATAAAACTCACCCAATTCAAATATATAATTCAGTGGGTTTTTTTGGTACCAGAGATTGAAACCAGGGGTGCTTAACCATTGAGTCACATCCCCAGCCTTTTTTGAGACAGGGTCTCACTAAGTTGCTTAGGGACTCACTTAGTTACTGAGGGTGACCTCAAACTTGCAATCCCTCTATCTCAGCCTCCAGAGTCACTGGGATTACAGGTGTGCACTACCATGCCTGGTTCAATTCAGTGATTTTTAATAAATTTACCAAGTGGTGCAACTGTCACTATGTATCAGTTTTTAGAATATTTCCACAATATGGCTGGATTTGGTGGTGCACACCTGCAATCCCAGCCACTCTGGAGGCTTAGGCAGGAGGATGGCAAGTTTGAGGCCAGCCCGGGCAACTTAGTGAGACTTTCAACAACTTAACAAGACCCTGTCTCAAAATAGCATGAAATGAAATAAAGGACTGGAAACTGGGCTGGGAGGTAAAGCACTCCTAGGATTCAATTCCCAGTACCCCCCCCCCCCCCGCAAAAAAAAAGAACATTTTCACTTTTCTATATGGTCTCACTATATTGCCTAGGCTGGACTCAAATTTCTGAACTCAAAGGATCCTCCTACCTCAGCCTCCCAAGTGGCTGGAACTGTAGGTGTCATTACCATACTCTGTGCTATTTAGAACATTTTAATTACCTCCTGTGCATTTATAGTTAATCCCCAGTCCCCCCTCATCAGCCCTCTAGCAACCACTAACTACTGTCTCTGTAACTGCCTTCCCTGAACATTTCACATAAATGACATCAGGCATTAGAGTCTTGCATCTGGCCGCTTTTCCATAGCATTGTGTGCTTGAGGTTCATCCGTGATGCAGGGTGTCAGGGGCTTGTTCCTTATCATTGCTGCATATTATTCCACTGATAGGCATGCCACATTTTGTCCATCCATTCACCAAATGACAGACATTTTTTCAGGTTTTTCCTTAACATACTATGTACATTTTACTCTGCTTTCCTCAGTACAATTGTCAATTCCATGAAGCTGATTTTGTTCACTTCTGAACCCCTAGCCCTTGAACTGTACTAGATACCAAAGGTGCTCAATTAAATATATGCCAAAGGAATAAAGAATGAAGATAACCTCAGATGGTGGTAAGCAGGGGCTATGCCGGGCAGGAGAAAGGGATGGAATGACAGAGACAGGGCAGGCACCTCTGAGGACATTTAGAGCAGATATCTGAGGGTACAGCCACTTTTCCTGCCTAGAATCTCCCTTTGTGCAGTCAGGACACCCACTGTCACAGAGGCTAGGCCCCCATTCCTCTCCCAGTCTGACTCAAGCCTGGTTCAGGGGTAAAAAGGCTGGGCTCAGCTGGACACCCCTTCAGTTTAGAGTCCCCAGGGTGAGTCAGAAAGCCAAGCTGAGCTTTGACTTCAGCCACTCTGCCAGAGCCTGAACCCCTGTTCACCCTGCATCTTACTGTTACTCCCTCGGCCTTCCTATCTGAAAATAAGTAGTAACAGGGCCTGCTGTCTGGGCTGGATGCTGTTCAAGCTCAGTCTCCATCGTGATGGTATTTGGAAGTGGGACTCTAGGGAGGTTGTGAGATCAGAAGGGTGGAGCTCACAGGAATGGGATTAGTGTCCTTAGATCTGCCTCCCCAATCCCAGGGGCACTGAGGAGGCAGAAAGAAGGCAGCTGTTCACAAGCCAGGAAGTGGCCCTTAGACACCATCTCTGCTGTACCTTGGTCTTTAACTCCCAGGGTCCGGGGACTGAGAGATGCACTGTCGTGTAAGCAGCTGGATCTGTGGTGTATTTGTTATAGCAGCCCAAGCTAGGACACCTGCCTTTATTCAAAACAAAACCAAAGGCACCACATCATATCCTCCATGTGCATTATTCCATCTGTGCCAGGCTCCAGTCTAGGAAACCAACCCACCCAGATCTCATAGCCCCAGCGGCAGCTGTCACTCACAGGCCGGGAGTGAAACAACTTTCTGGAAGTCTCTCTGCTGCTGACACAGCTGGGCCTGGAATGCACAGGCCCCATCCAGCCTGGGCACCTCACCCCAGCCAGTTTCTCTCCAGGCAGGAGAGGGGCTGTGAGCTTCAGTTAAATAGTGAAGACCCTGGCGGCCTGCATGGGCATCCCTCCAGGGCAGCCATCTGACCTTTTGAGGGGAAGCTCACAACAGCTCTCCATCCTCTCCCCAGAAACCTGCAACTCCCCGACACCCCCGACCCCAGCCCATCCACCGGTGGCCTGGATCAGGAACAGGCAATCAACTGTCCGCCTCCCCCTTTCCTATGGAGGAAAGTGTGGGTGGGGCCAGGGAGGGGCGGTGAGTCAAGACCTAGTTGCTGCAGGGCAAAGGTTGGGAGGGTGGGACTCCTCGGAATTCCTGGGGCTACAGGTCCAGCGCTCCTCCTCCTCCCTGCGGGAACTGCCCGCTCCTCCGACCCACCTTCACTCACCACCATGGAGTTCGACCTGGCAACAGGTGCGCTCCGGGCGGGGGGTCCCCGTGGGTGGGGGCAGGCTCAGTGGGGCCAGGGGTTCCGATACCCCCAACCCACCCAACTTCATTTGTGTCGCAGCCTTGAACTCTAATTCCAAGAAGCCAGCGGGGACAGGCCAGGTGAGAGACGCCAGGCACGGTCCCTCCAAGGCTCAGGGCCCGCCAGAGGCGGGGGCACCTCGGAAACCAAGGGTAAGTCACCTCGCCACCAGGCATGCAGGGGGATGGGGCGACCTGGATTCGACTTTGGCCCTTAGACCTTGTCGCACCTCGGCTTTCCGACTTGGGGTCGGGGTCTGGGAAGGGGTTCCCCGCCCTCACTGTCATCCCTGTCCCCCAGCATGGCAATGGCAGCTCCTCAGACTCCAGCAGCAGCAGCTCCTCCAGCGACTCGGATGCCGAGGGGAAGGTAAAGGGCTGCCCGGGCCAAGGCAGGCCAAGGTGGGGGTCAGCGCTGGGCGGGGCCGGTCCCAGGACAGCCTGGACATCTCCCGTCCCACCCGCTGCCCACAGTGCCACGCTGCGGGCGCCAAGCAGCACGAAGCCACCCCGGGCCAGGCCAAGAAGCTCAAGGTGAAGAAGAAAAAGGAGAAGAAGGACAAGAAGGAGAAGGGCAAGGAGAAGGGCAAAAAGTCCCCTCACTGATTAAACCCTCCCGGGCAAGGAGAAGGGCAAGAAGTCCCCTCACTGATTAAACCCTCCCGATGGTGGCGCTGTGTCTGGCTCCCACCCCGTCGCTCCGCTCCCTGGCCCGGCGCTGCCCCCTGCCGGGCGTCCAGTCCCCTGCCCGGCGTCCCAAGGACAGAGGCGGCCCCAGTCCTTCAGGCTTTATTGTTTCGCTGTGCAGCTGGAGATCTCAGCACCTTGGCGGGGAGAGGGGCGCGGGCGGGCGCGGGCGGCGGCCCTGCCCGGAAAGGCGGCCCGAGGCGGGCGGAGATGAGCGGCGGCAGCGGGCGGGCGGCAGGCGGCTGCGCGGGCGCCCTCACCGCACCAGGTGGAAGGTGAGCCAGTACATGAGCAGGGGCTGCGCCGCCGCCACGGCCATGGTCAGGTACATGCGCAGCTGGTTCCGCGCCCCGCGCACCGGTACCCCTTCAGCTGCCGCCTCGGCCAGGATCTTCAGCCGCAGCGTCCGGATCTGGGAGGGGAGGGGAGACGGGCGCTGGGTTTACCCTCGCCACCAACCCGCCGGGGGCGGGAGGACTGGGTGGTGGGAGGACTGGGCGGACTTCTAGCCTCTGCCCACAAGAACCCGCAGCCTGGCCAAGATCCTGCCCCTCTGGGCCCGTGAGCAAAAATGAGGGTTCCAGACTCAAATGCCAGTAAGACAGCTTTACCAGCCACGGTTTTTTCCCCTCTTGGTGCTGAAATCAAATGCAGAGCCTCTCCGTGCTAGACAAGGCACCCTCCGTGATGACCATTTTTAAAGACAAAGTAGATCCCCAACTCTGCCTCCCCAATCCCAGACTGAACCCAGACACAGTCTACCATCGAACTATACTCGCAACCTTTTTGAGACAAGGTCTCACTATTGCCCGGGGTGGCCTTCATTCTCCTGCCTCAGCCTCCGGTAACTGAGATTATAGGTGGGACTGACACTGCCTCAGGCTGCCCCCACCCCACCTCAGCTTTTTTTAAATGGGGTCTCCCTATGTTGCTGAGGCTGGCCTCCAACTTGAGATCTCCCCACCTAAGCCTCCTAAGTAGCTGGAATTACAACTAGAAATGTGCGCAGCTAGAAATGCTATTTTCTAAAATATTTAAAATGTATTTTTTTAACTTTGAAATGATGACATCAGCGTATCTGCTCATGGGTCATTTACAGCCCAGTAGCCCTGCGCCCCATGTGCACCCTGGGCTCTGACCTCTCCCAGCACCCTGACATGCAGACATCACCGTCCCATTTTATAAAAGGGGAAACTGAGGTTTAACCCCAGAACTGATCTGAGGCATGAAGTTCGGGTCAACCCAAGCCAGGGCCCTTTGCCAGCACCCCCACTCCGGATGGAAGGGCTCTTAGAGAATCTCCTTCCAGGGAAATTTTGGTGGGAAAGTCCCCCACATAAGGGGAAGGGTGGGGACCCAGCCCCCAGCCTGGGTGGGGATCCTCACCGCAGCCCCAATGCCAGCTCCTGTGGCTCTACCTGACCCAGCTTGGATACCTCCTCTTCTAAGAAGCCCTCCTGACCCCGGCTGGGGTAGCTACTCCATGCCCCTCAGTTTGGCAACAGCTCTCGTCTAAATTCCTTCTCTGACATCCTCTGCTTGGATGCCCCAGGGCCCAACTATGTCCAGGAGGCCTGTGTCCTCAGCCTTACCCACCCTGAGCCCCAGCTCACCATGAACACGAAGATGGACACGCAGCACCAGCCCAGCACCAAGTAGTAGCCAGTTTTCCCAAAGAGCAGGCCCATGAGAACCCCGCCGATCATGCTGGAGAGAGGGAGAATGGAGGCTGATTTGAGGACAGGGCCCAAGGGCGGGGCTGGCAAGCAGGTTTGGGGGTACTCACCCGACATATTTGTAGCCCAGGAAGGCCACCAGGTCGATGGTGGTGAGGTCGGTATTGACAGTGACCAGGTACAGGCTGAGCAGGATGGCCAGCACTTCCAGGGCCAGCCAGGCCAGTGCTGAGCTTGCCTGCAAGCCCAGGAGGTCTGGGGAGAACCTGTGGGACCGAGCTCTGTCATTCAGCTGCTGGCTCAGACCCCCCCTGAGCACTGGCCTAGAGACAGCCCAGCAGTGACCAAGAGGGACCTGGGCCTGCCCTCCTAGACATCCCATTCCAGGATTCCAGTTTGTCTGTTCCCAGGCAGTGACACCCACAAGGGTCAATCACAGGTGTGACTCACAGGGGGCTGTGGCACACAGGCCGAAAGGGATGGCAGAAGGGGCTTCCTAGAACAGAGGACAGCTAAGCTGAGGTCTGAAGGAGTAAGCAGTGGTCAGAGAAGGGCCGGGGTCTCTGCCCTATCCCCAGGGCCCAAAAATTAATCAACTGCTTCTAATGACAGTTGTTTTCAGTGCCACAAAGGAAAGGACCAGGGACTATGAGGGAGAGACAGGGGCTCGCCCTGGAGGAGAGGCATCAATGCTGGGTGGGGCATGAGCAGGTGACATAGGGAAGGAGCCTTCTGAGCCAAGGTAACAGAAGTGCCCAGGCCCTGGGGCAGCACCAGGCCCTCTGGAGTGGAAAGGGACAGAGTGGCACGGCAGAGGGAGCAAAGGGGATGGAGATACCAGGCTGAGGAGCTGGGGCTCAATTTGGGGGCTTCTGGCAGCTGTATGGGTCAAGGTGGGGTGCGGCCCGGCCCACAGCTCACATAAAACCTTCCCAGATGTCCCTGGAGTGAGGGCGGCAGGGGCAGCGTGCTCAGGAGAGTGAGGATGAGGACAGATCTCGGGTGGAGGCTAAGAGGAAGGATGGATTTAGAGGGTCCCCCCGCACAGGGTGTGATGGGCTGCATGTGGCTGGGAAAGAGAGGGGAGGCAAGGGGACAATGAAGGTGATGGACTGAGACCTCCCTGATGTGCCTTGGTCCCCAAGACCACCCCACTCCCTTACCTATCCTGTGTCCCCAGTGCAAGGCCAGCCACCAAGATGTAGGTGATGAAAGCCATCGCTGTAGGAGAAGACACAAGACAGAGGTCAGAGGAAGGGCTGTTTTGGGCCTCTGCACCCAAACCTCTGCCCAGCCAGAGGGAGGGGGGTGTGGGCAGGGCTGGGCAGGGTGAAACCTGGAATATAGAGGTCAGGCGCGTTGACGTCAAAGCGGGGGGCCACTGGGGTGTCCTGCTGGTACTGCACCTCCCAGTCCTGTGGGGAGAAAGGGGGAGTGGGCAGGATCCCCAGAGCAGGGCTCCTCCCACCTTGCTTACAGCGGCTGACCCCGGGACCCCGACCCCGACCGCCGGACAGCGCAGTGCCAACCTGGTGCAGATAGGGGAAGACGAGCAGGCCCAGCTTTTTGCCCACATACACGGTGTCCACGGCAAAATAGTACTTGAGCTTGGTGACAGGGATGAAGCGGTCAATCTGCGGAGGCAGAGCTCAAGCCTGAGACCCTGCAGCCCCTGCCGTCCCGCCCCCCAGCCCCGGTCCACTCACGTTCTTGTCCACCAGCTCCTTGCCCTGTGCGGCCAGGCTGCTCCCGTAGGCCATGGCCATGTTGGACACAGGATCTGCCAGGAAGGCCGCCTGTGCGGAGGCAGAGGTGTTGGGGTAGCCCAGACCACCAGGTGCCCTCTGGGCCCCATAGCCCCGGTTCTGGGCTGAACTCGTGTCATCAAAAAGCTGGTGGGGGTCGGCCATGTCCGGCGGGGAGGCCGGAGTCCTCCGCTTCGAGGCTGCAGGGGAAGAGAGTGGATGCTCACTCATTCTGCAGCTCTCCTTCTTGCTCCTGCCAAATCAGGGGCTGGAGTCACCAGCAGAGTGCTGATATCACATGGGCTCTCAGGCGCAGGTTCTACCTATCCATCCACCATCCATCAATCTACCCCTCCACATCCACCCATCCCTCTATCATCCATCTGTCATTACCCACCCATCCGTCACCTATCTACCCATCCATTATCACCTACCTATCACCCACCCATCATCCATCCATCCATCTTGGTCACCCATCCACTCATCTACAAAATAATAAATAATAATGGTGACATGGACAGCTACTCTGGGGTCTAATACGCACCAAGCCTTTTATAAAAAGGGCTCTGTCCCTGTCTCCCACGCTCTCCCTCACTCAGGGAAAGTGGTTCAGGTCCAGCCACCTTGGCCTTTCAGTGCTCACCAGACACACCTGCTACCTACCTGGCACACACCTACCTCAGGGCCACTGCACTAGCTGTGCCTCTGCCTGGAATGCTCTCCCCACCATGCGCACACAGTTCCCCCTCTCTGCCTGCGGATGGGGCCTTCCCTGATCACCCCGCCCACAGCTGTACCTCCCTTTGGGGCGGTACCTGACCCACCTTCCCTACTTCATTTTGACCACGGAACTTGGCACCAGCTGACCGATCAGCTGTTTTCTTTATTTTACTCACTGTCTCCCCACTGGATTGCGAGACCCTGGGGTGGGGACCTTCACCATGTTCACAGCTGAACCTCAGAGCTAAAGCAGGTGCTCAGTGTGAATAAATGGCCACCCCCATTTGACAGATGTGAAACCAAGGCACAGAGAGCAACATGGCTTGTGAAAGGACCAAACAGAGTTGACTGGCATGGAGTCCAGCCCAGGACTCTCTGGCAAAGATGACAATGATTAAACCCTGACAGATAGGCACCATGATACATTCCTGTAATCCTTGTGACTCAGACCCTGAGGCAGGAAGATCACAAGTTCAAGACCAGCCTGGACAACTTAGCAAGACCTGATTTGATAAAAAATAAAAAGGGCTGAGGGTGGAGTTCAGTGGTAGAGTCCTCGCCCAGCACACACCAGATCCTGGGTTCTAAGCAGCACATGCACACATACACACGCACACAACTCCACAAAATGTCCCCTCTGGCTTCATGGGAGGGGGGGATGGTGGAGGAGCATGGGCAGGAAAAGGAGACTGCTGAGGTGGCCCAGAGAGGAGTAGTGGCAGGACCCCAGGGGGTGGGGTATGGGGATGGGCTGTTTCTGGGTACATCTCCCAGGTAGGAGGGACGGGGACTTGCTGGAGGTGGTGAGGAAGTGGAAGAATCAACGCTGAGCAGTGGGGTGGATGGGGTTGGGGGTGGAAGACCAGCAACCTGGCCCTGGGCTCCTGTTCCTGGCCACAGAGCAGTGCCACCCAGCAGACATATGCTGAGAACTGCTACACGCCAGGCACTGCTTCG